TATGAATTTCAGCAGAAAACTTTTGATAAATAGAAAACAACTCAGAACGGTTTTCATTAAATAAATCCAAGTACAACAGGAGAAATCATCAATAAAGGTGACAAAATACCGAAAACCTAAAATAGACACACTACGACTAGGACCCCAAACATCTGAATGAATAATTGAAAAAGGAGCATCAGCTTGTTTATTGACTCGATTAGCAAAGGAGGAGCGTATGTGCTTTCCTTGCTGACATGACTGACAATCTAAAGTTTGAAGACCGGATAAAAGAGGAACCATCTTCTGCAATTTCGCAAGACTAGGATGCCCGAGACGACTGTGGATGAGCTGTGGAGATTCTGTGAGAGAACAAGCAACTGAAGGACTCGGCACATCAAGGTAGAACAAACCCCGTGACTCACGGCCCACTCCAATCATCTTCCCCGTACCCGGGTCCTGCACAGAAACAGAATGGTTTGAGAATGTGACAATACAATTAAGAGAATTGATCAATTTACTAACCGATATTAAATTATAAGGGATGTGAGGAATGTAATAGACAGATGTCAAGGTCAATGAGGAGGTTGGACAGATTTGTCCAATCCCATGAACGGGGGCCTTAGTTCCATCAGCAAGAGTAAAAGAGGGTAAATTATTAGAATATGTAAGGGAAGAAAAGAGTTCCTTATTACCACAGAGGTGATCAGTAGCACCTGAGTCAAATATCCAAGGACCAAGTGATGCAGAATGAGAAACACAAGCAACAGGATTACCAGTTTCTGAAGCAGAGGCCTGAGATTGAGGAGAGGACTTCCTGAGAAGGGCCTGGAATGCTGCATATTCTTCAGAGGAGAGAGAGACTGAACCATTTGAAGCAGTATCTGATTGAGCTACATTAGCAGCAAAAGAAGGTCGCATGTGAGGATACTTTGTGTAGCAGCGTTCCTCATAATGACCAAGTTGCTGACAGTAATGACAACGAGGTCGCTGACCACGTCCGACTGGCCTCCTGGGCCTCCTGGGCCCCGGCCTCCTGCGCCTCTACCACGACCACGTCCACCTCCAATATGCCCGCGAAAATCAGTACGGGAAACTAGAGCAGTAGAATCAACAGCAGAAGACGATGCAGGAGCAGATTTCTTATTCAAATTCAGAAGACGCTGATACGTCATGGATAGATCAGGCTCCCCACTAGTCAAGATAGTATCACGAACATTATCATATTCTTCGGGAAGGCCAGAAAGTGTGGCAACCATAAAGAGACGTTCTACCTGTTTTCGATATGCAGTAGCATCAGTAGGGTAAGGCAGCATATCCAAATATGCCTGCATCAAAGAGCGACTCTTGCCAATATATGTCTCCATCTGAATGTCGGATGATTTGCTTAATTCCATAAACTGAGAGATGATTAAATAGAGTTGCTGAACATCATTAGTGTAGAGGTTTTTTGCTTCCTCCCACACTTCGGTGCAAGTTTGAAATGAACAAAAGATATCCAAGACAATCGGATCAATGGATTGCCAGAGGATACTCAGAAGTTGGTTGTCAATCTTTTCCCAATTAGACTTGTCCTCCTTAGGGATATCAGTAGACTTAGTTGTGAGATGGTTCCCATATCCTTGTCCAAAGAACCAAACTCGAACAGAGGTGGCCTAGTTCTTGTAATTAACAGATCCCTTCAATTTTGAAGAGGTAATGGACCCAATATTGGTAGAGATGATATTAGGAGAATTTCTCACAGGAGGAGATGGAGACTTGACCTCCGAATGAATTGGAGAGTTTGCTGCCATAGTATCAAATCACAAAGATACAAACCGAATAAAGAGAAACGAACCTGATCACCAATCAAGAAGAGGTGCGCACAAAAAGTCAGACCCACAAAGAACCAACCACAGATCCAGAAAGAGGAGGAGAAGACGAGCTTCTCTGTCCAAGACCGGCCGGAAAAAGCCGCCGGAATAGTGCTCACGCGCCGGCAGAAGGTGGCGCGTGAAGCCCACGCGCAGAGAAGACTGGAGGCGCGTGAGAGCGCGTGACAACTCCGATGGTGGCCAGACTTCCACAGAGCAGGTCGCCGGGAGGAGAGGGTTCTGTTCGCGTTCGTTCCAGACTGAAAACTCGCCGGAAAAGTACTCCGGCAGCCTGAACAGTGGCTGATGGTGCTCCGGTGACTGTTTGGGGATGTGGACACGTGCAGAAGATGCCTGGAGAGGACTTACAACCCTTGATGTCTTACCGGAAGGACGCACGACAAAGAAAAGATAACTCCTAAGCAGTGGGCTTAGGTTTTAAAGCGAAGAACAAGATTTCTAAGCGGAAGCGAGGGTTCCCAGAACGAAATAGCTCTGATACCAAGTTAAGTGTAAAAGAATACGTTATGTATTGATCTGTGTCAGGGAGTTACAATATATAGAGACCCTAATGGGCTTAAGTGTAAGGCCCAAACCTAATCCTAATACAGTCAGAATACAGTCAGACTATTTACGGATAAGACAGAATCCAATCATATCTAATCAAATCTAATCATATCATATCTAATACTCTAACAATCATAATTACAGTTGACTGTATATTATACCATAAATGCTAATATTCTTACACTCTCGCAGTCTCCCTCAAGCTTAAGCATACTAAGCTCTCAGCTTGTTACAATTAATAAACCCAGCCAAACCCAACCAAACAGAACAAGAACTCAGCAACCCTGCAAGAATGAGACTGTTAATTATCAAGAGACAAGAGGTATTCATTGTAATCCTTATTATATTGAACTACACAACATTGGTGCTATTATATAGCAAACCAATTGAAGAATACAAAGAGACACACTCGATGTGGGACTTCTATACTACGTATACTCAATGTGGGACTTCTATACTATGTACAGCAACACTCCCCTTCAAGCTGGAGCATATAGATCGTATGCACCAAACTTGTTACATATCTGGTCTATTCTAGTTCCTCTCAAAGACTTAGTAAATACATCAGCTAATTGATCATTTGAGTTGACAAAACGAGTAACTATATCTCCTGAGAGAACTTTTTCCCTAAGGAAATGACAATCTATCTCAATGTGCTTAGTCCTTTCATGAAACACTGGATTTGAAGCAATATGCAAAGCAGCTTGATTATCACAAATGAGAGATGTTGGGCCAGTGTCTCCAAACTTGAGTTCCTTCAGTAGCTGTTTTAACCAGATGAGTTCACAGGTAGCTGTGGCCATGGAGCGATATTCTGCTTCAGCACTTGATCTAGCAACTACACTTTGCTTCTTACTTCTCCAGGAAATCAAGTTATCTCCAACGAATACACAATACCCAGAAGTGGATCTTCTATCAATAGGAGAACCTGCCCAATCAGCATCTGAGTATCCTACAACTCTGGTATGACCTTTGTTTTCATAGAGAAGACCTTTGCCAGGAGCAGTCTTGATGTACTTGAGGATACGGATTACTGCATTCCAGTGATCTTCACAGGGAGAATTCAAGAACTGACTTACTACACTGACTGCAAAGGAAATGTCTGGTCGAGTAACTGTGAAATAGTTCAGTTTCCCAACCAATCTTCTATACCTTTCTAGATCAGAAAATAGCTCCCCCTGATTTGGTAAAAGCTTGACATTTGGATCCATAGGAGTATCAACGGGCTTAGCATTTAACAATGTTGTTTCCTCAAGAATATCCATAGCATATTTTCTCTGTGATAGTACAATGCCATCTTTGGATTGGGCCACTTCTATCCCCAAGAAATATCGGAGTCTTCCAAGGTCCTTTGTTTGAAAATGATGGCACAAATGTTGTTTTATCTGAGTTATGCCATGAGTATCATTACCTGTAATGACGATATCATCAACATATACTACCAAATAAATAGAACGTGAATCAGAGTGTCTGTAAAAGACTGAGTGATCAGCCTCACTTCGAGTCATGCCAAACTGCTGTACAACAGTGCTAAACCTTCCAAACCAAGCCCGGGGAGACTGCTTTAGACCATACAAGGATCTTTGGAGACGACAAACTAGGTTAGACTCCCCCTGAGCAACAAACCCAGGAGGTTGCTCCATATAAACCTCTTCCCGCAGATCACCATGGAGGAAAGCATTCTTTATGTCTAGCTGATACATAGGCCAGTGATGAATAGCTGCCATAGTAATAAAGAGGCGAACAGAAGTCATTTTCGCCACGGGAGAAAATGTGTCACCATAGTCAAGGCCAAATATCTGAGTATAACCTTTAGCCACCAAGCGGGCCTTAAGACGGTCCACCTGACCATCCGGACCAACTTTAACCGTGTATATCCATCGACAGCCAACAACAGACTTCCCAGAGGGAAGGGGAACCAGATCCCAGGTACCACTACTCTGAAGTGCACTCATCTCATCAATCATGGCCTGTCGCCAACCAGAATGTGATAACGCCTCACCTGTAGTCTTAGGAACAGATACAGAAGAAAGAGAAGAGAGGCAAGCAAAATGGGATGGTGAAAGACGATGATAACTCAAATTTATTAAATACCTGGGAGGGGGACGAGAATCACGAGTACCTTTCCGGAGTGCAATGGGCACATCAATGTCAGACGGAAGGATCGGAGCTGCCGGAGGAGATGATGACGGAAGTGTGAGTCCACAGGAGCCTCAGTAACAATAGGGGCAGACTCGGGGGGGGCAGGGTCCTGGGGAACAGGGGGACGTTGCCGACGATGATAGACCTGAAGGGGGGGAACAAGGGCGGGAACAGGGACAGGGACATCTAAAGAAGGAGATGGTGAAGGTATATAGTGAACTGAAACAGGTGGTAAAGGTAGCTGAGTAGCAACAGAATCACTGGGATGGGAGGAGGAGTCAAAGAATGGAATAGACTCAAAGAATGTAACATCTGCCGAGACAAAGTAACGACGAAGACTAAAAGAATAACAACGATAATCCTTTTGTGAGCGAGGGTAACCCAGGAAAATACATTTATGTGACTTAGCAGATAACTTGTCAAGACCAGGACTGAGATTGTGGACAAAACAAGTAGAACCAAAGATGTGAGGAGTGAGTGGGTACAAAGGTTGATGGGGAAACAACACAGAATGTGGTACCTGATTATGAAGTACGGAGGAAGGCATCCGATTAATGAGATAACAAGCTGTGAGGACAGCATCGCCCCAATACTGGAATGGGATATGACCATGTAACAAAAGTGTCTGAGTAGTCTCAATTAGGTGACGATTCTTGCGTTCAGCAACCCCATTCTGTTGAGGGGTGTGTGAACATGATGTCTGGTGAAGGATGCCGTGAGATGCAAAGAAGGTTTGAAACTGATGAGATAAATATTCACGAGCATTGTCACTTCGAAAAATGCGAATCGAAACACCAAATTGAGTAAGGATTTCATTAAAGAACTTGTTAAAAATAGAAAACAATTCAGACCGATTTTTCATTAAAAATAACCAAGTACATCGAGAATAATCATCAA